GTAGTTGTGATACTAAATTTGGAAAGCAACGTAACTGCCCCATTGGATTGCATTAGTATGTTTGTGTACCCACAGGCAGCATTCCCACTGCACTGTTCAAAATATATTTTTGGCATTACCTGTGGGTACACAAATAAATAACCAGCAGGGAGGAAGATATCATTAAGGTCCCCCAGACACTCTGGCTGTGGCACAGTGAAACTGCAATTCAAAACAATATTTTGCCATTTTCCCCCTCAGAGCAATGCAGAATATTGTATTGTCAGGGTATATTGGCATTTTATTATTACACTGAACACTGAGACTGACAGCATAATGAGAGGATGATTCATGAGAAAGTCTTATACTGAGATCTCGTTTTGAGCACATTTTGGTTCACATTTTAAGTCAAAATACTTGATGTTCAAATCAGTGAATATATGTTATTAAGCACTGCAACTAATTTGCCTCACTTCACTAGAGACACAATATTTGTAATTTTTTTAAAAAGACAATTTTAGCCCATAGGATTGTAATTTGTTTTTAAAGGTGCACTATGAAACTTTTCTGGTGGGTGTCTGCCACCTGCTTGTCTCCTTGAACAATGGCATAAAACTTATTTATTCAGTTATGTTTTCATAGCTCAAAATACTTTGAAAAACATGAATTCATTAATTCTTAGACTTGTAACTTGACCTGCTGTCTGTCTCCATGGAGATAGATATGGTAATAACATCTTCCTGAAGACCAGCAGGTGGCAGATCCTCCACCAAAAAAGTTACACAGTGAACCTTTAAAAATGAGCTACATCAAACATAGTTTCCATTATAACTTTATCCCTTAGTGGTTTTCAGTAATGCAACTCCCACTAAAATATTTGTAACTGAATATTTAACTTGCTAATAGAAGCAGAATACTGTTCACTGTCTTAAGTGAAGCCCCAGAACTGCACCACATAAAGCCAAAACAATAAGGTTTTGCAGTTATGTAGATCTTGTCCTTCACATAACCTCAGAGAGGTTATTCTGGGATTTCAGACTAAAGTGGAATAGAGGGATCCTGCACAGTAAAGACAAACACAAACACTTGAAGAGGTACGAGATTGCTTTTGGATTTACAAGTGTACCAAACAAAGCAGCTGCACTTACTCTTGTTACAGTTTTCATTATGATTAATCTTTAACAGTGCCTTTTGTCCAACTATCAAACCGACATTCTACATACTCCATATTATGTTTTTCCGCATACCTAACATAAGGCATGTATCATTTTAGCTTGAATTTGAGCAAAATGTAAGTACTATAAGTAAAATGGCCTTCAGCGCATGTAAGGGGAAGTGGGAAGCAGCTATCCTGGAGTTAGACTGGCCTCCATACTGAGATATTTAAATGCCAGATACAGTAACCACTAGTTACTTAGCAACAACATGAGCTGCATGGTGCATTACCGTCATAGTTTTGTCCAAAAGTTGTTTGTTGAACTGAAATAGAAATCCCTGCTCACATACAAAGTTAATAATGTCATAATAACATAACACTTTCCCAAAAGATGTACAAATATTGTACTCATTATATTTTTGCAAGATTACTGATGTCTTTGCACTTTTGACTTTCTCTACTTACCATGACTGTCTTCTAAAGCCCTTTTAAATGCATGAGTGACTTAATGCCGGCATATACACAGTATTAAAACTCCTATTATGAAGTATTTAGTAATGATGACTCCATTAACAATTTTAGAGCGCCAATCAAAGGCCACGGGCCTCATCTATATTAGATTATGAGCAATTTAACAAGCCTGGATGGAGCGGACCAATCACAGCTCCCCATAAGTTTGCCAATGCTACACTACAGGCCAGATTACATCCCCCAGCCATTGTACAAGTAAGTGTGTGGTTATAAAAAGCCTAACAAAGGTCATATAACACGAGTCAGGAGCACAGGAGGAGCAGAGGCAGATAGTGGTCAGGCTGTGTCCTCTCACCTAAAGGCAGGAGAGCAAGACCGGGGGACAAATTGCATCTGGCCTGCTTAGATCTCCCAGAGGGTGGTGGTCAAATCCCTATTGGCTCCTGGGGTGTTTCATACATGTGCCCCTGACCTGTGACTTTTCAGTAGGAGGAAACAAGGGTCAGATAAGCTATTATTATCAACATGGTCTGTCTTGGTTTTCTTTGGGCTCTGTGCTTCAGGGAACAACACAACAAATCTTCTGCCTTCTGCCTTCTAGCCTTGGAAATAGCACAAATAGTAGAAAATGCATTATACATAATAGAGATTGAAGTAAGAATGTGTCTTGCCCATACACAAAAAATCCAGGTCCATTATAGGTCCATATATTTAATTATACCATATTTGACACCTCTTGATTTTGTTACTTATTTATACTTATTTTTTATATTTTCTCTTTGTTATTATAAGCTACTGTGTCTAAGTAACTTCCCTTGTGGATCAATAAAGTCTAAGCCTAAGTCATTATGTGTTCATTTTTAGTTTTACATCAAATGCCCTTATTAATTTATTTAGTTTTATCCAGACTTGAAAATGGTAGAAACTTTGAGACATTAAAATGGATCAGTATTAGCCATTCCAATGTTTCTTCTCACTTTCCTCGCTAAAAATGATTAGAGCTCAGAATAGACCCATTTAAATTCACCCGAACACAATAGCAAGCTTTTGTTCCATTCTTTTCAAAAGTGCAAGTTTAATAATATAGGAAGCTCAAGTAATGCTGAGAGATTTTTCACTTTTCCTACTAAATTCTAGCAATTATAAGCCTGAATTTCAAAGTACTTCTGTCTGGCACATGTGGAAAAATGGACCACAGGAGTTTATGAGTTTTAAGTTAAAGTATGAGTCTGAGCATCAGTTTGAAAACCAGTGACAGGAAACATGACAAACAGCTGTGACATTTAACATGATGGACTGCCTCTCCAGGACTCTCTCCCTGTTTGAGGTGTGTGTGCGCTAAGATTACCAGGATGTAGATTCTGAATAATAAAATGTTGAAAATAATGTGGCTTAAATGTCCTATATTACACAAAATTGACTCTTGTAAGCTTTAAGCCATGTTATAATGCTGTTACCTCATCAAAAACATGAAGTTGTGTTTTGTTTCATTTACACGTTTGAGTAATACTTCAATAATTATTATAGTCTACAAAATGCTCAAAAATGCTCTGTTCCACCTTGTGATGTCACGTGAACAGCTACCTTTTACCTTTTGTTTAGTAGAGATGGGAAATTCCAGGGCTGAAATTATCCCAACGATTTTAGTGAAGAGGTTTGGAGTTTAAAAATACAGTAGAGCACTTCCTGTGTTACCACATGACATCACAAGGTGGATTCAGTTTGAGAGAAAAAACTCTAAGGTTACATTTAGAATGAAACTAATCACTGTATCAGAAACTATTTGCATCCAGACACGTCGTTTCTGTGTCTGTAAGCCTTCCCTATCCACACAGCTTTGAGCATATTTGTTTACGTTTTACACAATCAAAACTTAAAACAGCATGACTAATTTGCATAAACTAAGCGCTCAAAAAACAGCTCGCTATTGTGTGCTGATGTGGTTCAGCTTCTGTCGGACTAAAGGACACGACTCATTGGAATATATGTGTTCTTCCTGTGACAGAGGGGTGTTCTGCTGATGGTGAGTCTGTTCTGTGCTTCTATCGCGTTGGAGATGGTTCATGTTAAAATTTTCAGAGATTATATGTCTGCAGGTCATAAACATAGACCTTATATATGAGTGGACATATATTCTAGCCTCTTAGCATTTTAGGTGTGAATTACTTCGCGGCACATAGACCTACGTCAGTGTATCAACATTTTCAGTGTCCACACAGTGCCGGATCAGACTGAATTCGTGTGTGCTGGCAGCACCAGATCGTTCTGTCTCTGGAGCTGTTTTCCATCGGATTAGTGTAGATGAACACTGCATCCACAACGAAAACGACTCAAATACGTACTAGTGTGAATGGGGCCTAAATATGCAGGGTTCGTGTGTTAAATTTGTTAAATTCACCTATGGGTGATTGTGGGTGACTTTTCCTTTAATTAACGTCTTAAAAACTACTACAGTTATACTTGAAGCTGCTTTTGAAGACTTTATAAAGTTCGAGGCTCTTTGTGAAGTAAGAAAAATGAAGATTTTTAGACTTACCAGGATTTATTTTTTGTTCATTTAAATATAAGGATTATGCTTTGACTATTCCTATTTTGAATTTGAAAGCCATATCTCCAAAATAAGAACCAACTAAGAACTAACAACATGTTTAGTAAAATTGGAGTGAAAACAGACTCAAGTTAATTGGGGAGAGGCATATAACCAAGAAAAACAAATTACTAACTTTTGGATTGTTTCACTTTCTAAAATAAATTATGCACACAATTACCACACAACACAAACAAACGGCAGTATTATTTCATTTGAGCATATTTGAGAATCAACTTTCACTAACAATAAAATCGTACACCTGCAGCATCCATCTTCCCAAACACTGAACAATAATGTGTGTGTTCATGTATATATAAATAGAGCCGCCACGTTCCAAATTGGACGGGAACATGGGGCACTTCTGACTAAATTGACATTACAATGGAAAATTGTGGCCCCTCTCTCTGTAACTGCTGCTCTGAGCCTCGTCATTTTGATCTTAAAATGTTTGCATTAACCCTCTCTACATGATCCTGGTGTTTGTATTTCACTATTTTGTTTTTTTAAATAAATTCTTATTCCAAATTCACCTCTGTAACTGCTAACGTTGTAAGTTTGATTTGACTGGAGCTGGATGTTATGGGTGAGATCACACTCTCTTAGTCTACTTCTTTATACAGTCTACGCTTTTCTTTTGAATTTATCATCCCAAAGCCAGACACTTAAGTGGGCTATTTCCACAGTAAACTGCTCATCAGCTCAAATTGAAGGCGAGGAGAGGCCAGTGCCCTTGCTAACGTGATGAGCTCCGTCTCTGTACATTCACCGTGAGAGCAGAGGAGAAGTGCAGAGTATAGTTCTTACCTTTGCACACGGGTCTGTGGTCGCTCCAGGCGGCGAACACTTCAGCCACTCTCTGACAGCTGATGGTTTTACTGCCCTGAAGAACGTAGTCCTCTCCACAGGTGAAGTGCACCTCGCTCCCAATGCTAGCAAAGAAAATCAAGAGTACATTTGAACAGTTGGAAGAAGAGCTATATACATTTTCTATGGATTATATACTGTATTTTCCATTAGGACCTAAAACATTGATCAGTTTCAACAATAATATATCTATGAAGGCAAGCAAGTCATGAACCCCCCACAAAAAGTTACTTGCTATGTTCAGACTGCAGGGCTTAATGCTCAGTTCGGATTTTTAAAAAATGAAATAAGATTTTTTGCAAGGTTGTTAACATTTCTAATTAAATGTGACTTGTATGTGATCTCCAACTTTAAATGCCCCAAAAATGTCTTGTGTGCACATTGGAAGACACAACGAAGTCACAAGCAGCGAGCGTGTTCAGTGTTTACGGAAATCACCTAAACATGGACTCTGCATCCAGCACCTGGTATTTTTAAAGTTGCTGTTCGTACCGGAGCCTGAACATGTACAGCTTATTTGTTTTAAAAGGGGATTGAGAAGGAGAAGGACGGGGTGTTTAGCCGTGGCGTTTTGTGGGGCAGTGGCAGCAACATGCGGTCACTTCAGGCTGCAGTCTGAACGTAGTGCACCTTTAAAACACATAATAATATGTCATTGAACCGGGTAGTTTTTTTTTTTTTTCATACTGTTTAAGCCTCTTAAATGGTCACATACAAAGAATAAAGACAACGGTGTAGTGATCAAGCCTCAAACAACCAACTTTGGTCCTTCACATACTTAAACCACAAAGCTAGTATTGCTCCTTTTTTAAAAGTCCCGTATTACACTTTTTTCTGATCTATATTATAATGTTGTTTCCTCGTCAAAAACATACCTGGAGTTGTGTTTTTGTTTCATTCACACATATTTAACACAAAAAAGCTGCATATTTAGGCTGATTCCCTCGCTCAATCAGAACAGACTCCACCTTGTGATGTCATGTGGTAATACAGGATGTGCTCCACTGTGTTTTTAAACTCTATACATCTTCATTAGAATGATTTGGATATTTTCAGCCCAGGAATTGGCAATCTCTACTGAACTAAAGGTGGAACAGGGCATTTTGAGCTTTGGAGATAAAGGCTAATAATAAAGGGTTACTCAAACATGTGTGCATAAAACAAAACCCAAGTCCAGGTATGTTTTTTATGCAATAACAGCATTATAACATGGTTTAAAGCTCAGAGTCAGTTCTAGGGTCAGTTTTACGTAATATAGGACCTTTAACTAGTGAATTATTCTATTTTTACCAAAGCATTTTCATTATTGCAGTGATTAAAAATGTATGTATAATGTGTTAAAATGTTGTACCTGAAGTCACTGCCGTGCCTCTTCCCGTTCTCTGGCTCCCCTGGATCGGGACAGGAGTTTGAAGCTTGCCTCACACCTCCTTCGTTTACTACAGAGAGACATGCCAAGAGTTAGCTACAAAAAATAATAATAAAAGCAAAATGTGTTCAGACAGTGATGCGACCTAGGACTAGTGCTGTAATTTGGACCAAAGCCTCCCCTGAACCATGTCATTAGACTAAAATAAGTCTGTCATTGTAGAAAGTGCTCAGTATTTCTATGGAGATTTGGAGCTCCCTAATGTTAGTTCAGCTTGTCACTTATCACAGCTTAGAGAGTTGGGAAGAAGAACAGGTTAGACAAAGTGGGAGATACAGACAGGGCAAAAAAATGAGAAAGACACAGAAGCAGCACACAAAATCTCAGAGAAACAAAAGATAATCTAGACAGTAATACTCTTCACTCCAGACAAAGATGACAAAAATAAATAAATACATGAAAATGAAATACTGAATTTGGCATAGCATTGTTCACTTTTTAACTTTTTGGTTGATGGTCCGTCACCTGCTTGTTTCTACGGCTATGTCATAGCTCTGCCTGGAATGTTCAACAGTGTGACATTAAACAGGTCTACCTCACATTAACCTTATTTTTCTGACTATAAGTTGCACTTTTTTAATGGTTTGGGTGGTCCTGCGACTTATGCTCCAGTGCAACTTATATATTCAAATTTTCACACTGACAGTGGTGAGAGGCTCTAGGCTTGTGTGGCAGTGTATGCTACTACTATTACTCCTGTACCACTGTTCTGCTCTACTGCGCATGTCTCCTGCATGAAGAGTATCATGTCAGTTGTACTTCTGTATCACAATTAAAGTGACTGCAGTAACAACCGAAACCATCCTGTCAGGATTCAGAAAGGCCGGAATAATTCTAACTGGAACTGATGCTGAGTCTGACAACAGCTACGCAGAAGAGGAAGCTGTGCTCCGTTTACCTCCAGAGGTCACGGAGTTGCTCAGAAGTGAAACCGAGGATGAAGAATTCAATGGATTCAGCGATTTGGAGTGAGATGGAGAGTTCTGAGAACTTCTGTTCTTTGTTTATGCTATAGTTATCTGAAGAACTGTTCATATGTGACGTTAACAGCCTGCTGTTCTCTGTTCTATTTTTATTACTATAAGTTTGCCTTTCAACATGAAATGTCAGTTCCTGGTCTCTGATTTTAAGTGCGACTTATATGTTTTTTTTCTTCTTCAGTACGCATTTTTTGACTGGTGTGACTTATACTCCGGAGCGCCTTATAGTCCGGAAAATAGAGTATTCAATTACAGGTGATTTTATAGCTCAAAAATACCTAAAAAACATGCATTCTGACTGTGAGCAGGGTCGCCTCTCCACAGATCTGACCTGTAACTTGGTCTGGTTTGGTCTCCATGAAGGTAAAGGTTTAATATCATACTGTGAAACATTCCAGACAAAGTAATAACATCTCCATGGAGAAAATAATTTGATGGAACCTTCACTAGAAAAGTTACACAATACACTTTTAAATGTAGCATTATTGACTACATTGGGTTGTAAATGTGCTGCAATTGTAATCCCAAAATAGAAGTAGAGATAGAAGTAGCAAAAGTACTAGCTTGGTAGTATTAGAAGTACATTTTTGTTTCGTGCACCTTTCCTTTACAACACTGGCTCAGTTTTGTTTTGCATTTGAGAAGTTCAACAAACACAGCTTTGGGGTTAACCAAGAAGGGTATGTTCTTGTGCTTGTGGATGAAAAAGAATAATCTTCCATGTGTTTCTAGGGCTGCCAAAGAAATATCGTTTTTAGTGCTGAGAGCAAAACAAAAACAACTTTTCAATTCAAAAGCTTTTCCTGTTTGAAAGTAGCTCTGCCCCATTCACAATTTAAATTCGCTCCCTTTTTATTTGTGAAAAAAATAATCCAGTTTTATTGTGTGTGTTTTAATAGCTCATTCGGGTGCTGTAAAATTATTCCTAGTAATCATTTGAGTCCAATTCATGACCTACTTTTATTCAGTTTGGGTGAGCACAAGTCAAGGTTTAATAAGCTCAGAGTTACGTTATTTGAATAATCCTTAAGGTTTAACATCTTTCATTCACAACAATGCACTTGAAATCTCTCTTGGAAACTTGAATCACTTTATTTTGATATTCCCCGTTGTTGTCACACACACTGTAGTCAAACAATTTGGACCCTCCCAGTCACTGTCTTTCTAAATTTCATATACATACAGAAGACATAATCAGTAGGAAGTAAGATGTATGGAATTATATAGCAAAGAAAAAAGTTTATTTTTATTTTACTTTTGTTTGTCTCCATGGCGATGTTATTGCTTTGCCTTGAATGTCCCATGGTATGACATTAAACATACTGTATCTATCTAGCATTTATTCATTATGGGTGTTCCAATTGCTCAAAAATGCAATTATTCTCACTGTGAATAGGGTTGCCCCTCCACAGATCTGACCTGTAACGTAGTCTATAATAGTCTCTCTTGATATAGACAGGTTTAACCTCTACTGTGGAAAACATTTTAAACAAAGCAAAAATCTTACACCTCACATCTTACTTCATAAACTAGATGTCTTCTGTATGTACCGTATTTTTCGGACTATAAGGCGCACCGGATTATAGGCCACAGTATCAATAAAGTTGAATTCTCTCATCTATTTTCATACATAAGGCGCATTAAGCGAAACAAACGGTGACAATTGAGACCTTAGCCCAGGCATCCACGATCCATTGGCAGATCGTGGCGTAATTCGACCGCTGTTGCCTCTCTGTGTTGGTAAATGTGTATCATGAATGTGAATGTGGGTAGATAATTTAAGTTTGTTTTATTTTTATTTTTTTTATTTCCTACAAGGAGGACTCAAATATATGTTGAGTAATAATGTGTTTAATGCAGCTTTGTGCACATTTGTTTACGTTTTACAGAAACGAAACGTAAAACCACATGGCTCATTTGCATAAACTATAAGTGCAGCTCGCTCTTTGTGCGCTGATGCAGTCAGCTTCTGTTGGACTAAAGGACATGAGTCAGTGGAACGTGTGTGTTCTTTTCCATAGAACTATATTATAAATCCTGACTATGGTAGCCGTAATGCTCCGACAATCTATGAAGCAGTGTGGCTTTGTAACTTACCAAAGTCGTACTAGAACATTTTATCAGATTTTTGGGCGCAGTGTACCACATAAAATTGAGGTCAGTAAGCACAAACAGAATTAATACATAAGGCGCGCTGGATTATAAGGCGCACTGTTGATTTTTGAGAAAATTAAAGAAAGGATAAAGAATTTTAACTGTGCCTTATAGTCCGAAAAATACGGTATATCACATATAGAAAAAAAAAACAAAACACCAAATGAGAGGGTGAGTCCAAACTTTTAACTGGTAGAGTATACTCAGGTAAAACTACTTTATAAAATTTCCCTTTCTTTGTCTGTTACTGTAAAAGTTAATAATGTTATGCAAATTAGAAGAATTATAGTATTTACCCTATTAATAGTCAGGCTTAGCACTGCCCACATGGAAAGGCAAAGTCAATGTGGTGGTTGAGAGCTGGAGCAGTATCCGCTCTGTAGGGGGCAGAAGGAGCACAACCTCCAGGTGCTGGGAGCCGGGCAGGGGGTAAGGCTTTGAAATATTACGTTTAAAGAAGGTCTGGTGCATTATACATTCAACCGCTGTGATAATTCCACACTAGTCTGTCTTTTTCTCTTTGATGGGACAATAATTTTAATCACTGGAGAACAAAAACAATTTATTTTGATTGGGTGATTGGCAATTCTTGACAATCCTCAAATAGAAAATTAAAGCTTCTGCTGTTTTTAATTTGCTGATTTGCATGTGTTTTTTTTTTTTTTCTAAATGAAGAAGTCATTCATTTTATTTTCATACAAAATATTGCAAGAATGCTTTGGAGAGAGATATCCACCAGCTTCTAAAAGCATCCTCAGCTTGTCTGCATTGCACTTCTTGCATTAAATTGCCATCTATATTAAGACAAAGTCAACATTCATATTTATGTTTGTGATTTTGTTGCTACTCCAATTTTGTATTTAGTTCAAGTTGAGTGCCAAGAAAAAGGGTATTGCTTTAAAATGAAGATGCATTGCTATTATATGTTTGTAAGGATTGTAGTGTGCTTTAGTTGGCCATCAATAGAATCTATAAACCTTTATTCAGAGAGAGCGCTCAGTCACAGTACTCACCATTTATACTTTCTCAAAATTAAAATTCTAAAGGTTCACTAGGTAACTTTTCTGGTGGAGGGTCTGCCACCTGCTCGTGTCCATGGAGATGTAAGTGCTTTCTTGAGATTGTTCCACAGTATGACATACAGCTATTAAACTACTGTATTTCCATCGAAAGAAGCATGTGGCACCAACAGGCCAAGCTGCAGGTCAGATCTGCCACTAGCCCACTCACAGTAAAGGTCCGTTCAGACCGGAGTGTCAAGGCGTCCAGTTTACGGCCAAAGTCTATCTGGATGAGTGTCTAGGGGCGTCCTGCGTTTTTGCATTATGCCTTCAGGCGTCAGCGTGACGTGAATCTGGCATCAACAGGGTCCATCTTGAGTGTTCAGGCGTCAACACTCAGGACGCGCATCCAGGGCTTTGGCATTCAGAAGTTGAAAATGCTGAACTTTTGGTGTCAGACCTGCCATGTCAACCAATCAGGGACGATTATCCAGTGACGTAGAGACGTTATTATCCAGAAGAAGGAGAAGAAAGAAAAAGACCCGAGAGCCACAAACACCAGAACAAGAAATCTACTCTGTGTCATTAGCGGATTATAAATATATACACGACGTAACCGCCGAGCTGATCACCAAGACTACACCGGAACTGGACCCGGACTAAACCATGACTGGATCTGGACTGGGCCAGGACTGGACTAGGATTAAACCAAGACTGGACCAGGACTAAATCAGGATTTAACCAGGTCTAAACCAGTGTCATTAGGGAAGTATAAATATATATACACTGCCTCTGCTAATGTGTTTTATGTAATAAAAACACTTAAGTCACTTTCGACTGGGAAAACAAGGCACTTGCAGACTGTAGTGACCACC